GTTTAGAAGTGGACATCCGATGGCTGAAATGAATCATTGAATTGATTTTACTGTACCTAGGTAAGAAGGATTTCCTGATGAGGTATTTCATTTAACTAAAAAACAGATATTTGAAACGTGATTCTTCATTAATTTTCATATTCCCTTCCATAAATAAAACGTTGCAGATTCTGGGGCGAACCTTGTTGCTAAAATAAACTCGGTTAACAACATAATGCAGCAGTTTTGGGTCTGCCCTGAAAGCTGCAAGTTTGCATTCAAAATATTTTCCTTATACTCGTATACCAGAGGTTTGTGTTTCGCAAAATACTCAGAGAGAGTACTTTCCCCAACTGGTACTTTAAGCACACAAGAAGAAGGGGCTGACGCATTTATTTTAATATTGTAGTTTCTAAATGTCAATGCCTTCCTGTTACAAAGATGAAGCTTAGACGAGAACAAAGAAGAAAGTGAACTCACGATAATCATATTGTATTTACTTAGTAAATAAATATTTAATAATAAAAATACGCCAGAATTGTAACCTATTTGGAGGAAGATGAAGGTTATTGATGAAACAACTTCTGACAACTTTCTGAGAGCAATCCATTTCATAACGATTTTTTGATCACTGTCAAGAGTATTATACAACGTGAAATACAAAGGTCTAAGGACATTTGAAATACTTATCTCTTCCATAACGATATTGCTACACCAAATAATCCTCAACAACACGTAACTGGAAACTTGAAAGTTCAAACATTTGCCGACGAGGCGGTGCGCTTTGAGCAACACGTCGCCATGGCGACCGCGTAATTAATACACCCGCGATGGAACAGTTATCTTCCACCGAGAACAAAGGGCTGTTGTGCCGAGGGTGGGACGATCGTGGCCGGTGTCACTGCTGCACGTGAAAACCTCCATTTTATTGCTACTAATTGCAAACGAGACACAGAACATGTTTCATTCGTAGAGTGAACGTGAACTTTACACACGAAAATGAGCAGACCCATAAGAACAATGACACGTTCAGACAACACTTTTTAGAACCTGACATCTTAAAACAAGATTTAGTAATTGTACAAAATAAAACGCGGAGCACGACATGGCTGCAAATGATAAAAAAGCGTTTTTTGCATAATTGTGTACGCGCATTCTGTTACGCGGCATTACTGGGATTGTTTCGACGTGCCCCCCCACTCTCTGCCCCCCTCTAGACACAAGCTAAATAATGATAGAAGACCCTGAAGACCCATATTATTATTATATTTGAACGATTCCACATACCTACGTATAGTTGTCTCTTTTCTCATCGCGTTGAAGGCAAACTAATTGATTTTAGATCTAGCGAAATGGGCATGATATAAGCGGATGTGTGCTGCAGTGCAGGTTGTTCGGAACAGGCTCACTGTGTATGTCAGAGCTTTGTCCCAGATGTGTCCCGCGCGTCCCTATATCACGATTACGAGAGCTTTATGCCCGTCCCGTATCTCATTAGCACGCAGGGTTGTCCATTTACTAATGCTGATGAAGTGGGTATTGCTGTACACGTTTAAGAGTTATGCATGATACCATATTACACTACTTTCAGAACATTTAGAAGATAGCCTGATAACATATGAATTGCCCTACGACCTCCATGAAAACATAATAAGTAAAAACCACCTTAAGAGAACTCTGCGAAAGCACTACTTATCGATGTGTCCATGACCTTACGAGTATTATTGTCCTCAGACGGTTACCTATGTTGTGTGTAATACCACAGAACCTACTGTTAAAAAGCTAATTGTTATGTTTCTACCATGAAAGGTGAGTGTTTGTGTAGTGTGTACCTATGTGTATGTGTATGCGAGTGTGAGTGCGTGTTTACAAAGTGTTTTGGTTTAAACACTGGTCTTATGTTTGTGATTAACATTAAGATTTATTTAGTGTAAAAAGTCAGCGGCGGTCACCATTTATCAGTAAGAAAAGAGGCCTTGGGGTGGGTTGTACCATCTTACTTTAACTTTAACAAACGTCAAGGGTCTGTCAAACTCCATATAGAAGGCACCGGTTGTTGTGGTCGCGATTGGGGTGGGGTGGTGCAATTCAACCTAAGTGTTTTACTTGGCGTGCCGTCGTCTGTACCTATACGTATAATGTTATTTAGAGGCTATGTAATAACAGTATTGTGAGAACTGCTGCCGACAAACTGTGTCACAGTTTGGCAGAAAATATTAATGTTTACTGTGTGTATTTATATGGAAAATAAATAAATAAAAAAATAAATAAATAAATAAATAAACTATGATAATTGATACAAAATCGAATCGATTGACTAATAAAAAGTTATCACAAGATCATGAAAGGCAAATCGTCCCTACCTCTAATGTTTTGGCGACAATTACGTCTGACACAAGGACCGCTACAGCAACACAATGTGAAAAAGTAATTTTCAGCCCTGTAATTCAGCGGGCCGCCATCTGGCCGCGGGCGAACAAAAAACACTCCACTCGCGCGTAATCTTGTAACGCACTCGTAATTAAACCGATGGAGATTAAACCGAGCTTTATGCCTCTCCCTTTCAAAGAATTAGCCGTAAAATTCAAGGGTCTAAGGGTTTCCTTGTCTTTTATTTTTACTGTATTGAAAGAGCGCTTGTTGTTGGATACCATTAAGGAATACACGATCTTGGTAACTTACGTGTGAAAGATTTAACAATTAATTTATTTATATTTTGTCTCTACACTTTATACAAGAGTGATGGTGTAACTAGTAAAGTAATTATTTAGTTTGCAATTGGCGCCTAATTTTAATTCTTCGCAAATAAATCTTTGCAGGCGAATATTGAACTTCACATGAGCGGATTATTGCAGACTACATGAAATACGTTTCCCTATTGTCTCAAATGTACCAGGAGTTCAGTTGAACGTGGATATATTCGTCTGACAGCGAACGTTCGAGGAGTGTTCGTGGAACCGAGCCAATGCGTCTCAGTTGCCACAAACAGGCTGCGAACATGTACCACCAGGTACACTGGCACGGAATTCATAGATATTTGTAGATAGGTATAGCTATGTAATATCCCTATACCTGAACATGCTCACATAATCTATTTGCACATTGAATAATTGTTTATTTCCATAAACGATTTCTCTACCTGCGAGGATTTAGGAATATAAACAAGTCTTTTAAAATACTGCTTTGATATACCGCAGAAACCCTAAACGGATGTATCAAGGGTCTTTAAATCTTCCAAAATAGTTTGATATTCTAGACGCATAAATAAATACCTACACGATTGATACAGATACACATATTAGTCCGCTACAGTACCAACACTTTGACTAAGGTGCACTTTATTCCCAGCACATAGGTTTCAAAGTTCAAAAGCAATCTAGTCTCGTGCAGCCGTACCCTGTATACGTGTATACTGTATCGTGACACGTGTAAGCGTAGATTGGCTCCGAAGCCACTCGTAGCTCGCTCGCCTCAAGTCAATCTGCCAATTCGGGGAACACTGAACCATGCGCCAGTGATTTGTGGACAAACGCGGCCCACAAAGCGCTTGTTTTGGGAACAAACAGAGTGTCGATAACATGGGAATTATCAAAGAACTCGTTGATGAGTAAAATAAACGTGATACGGTATTTTGAAATACAGGAAAACGTTCTCAACATACTCGTACTTTGGATATTATTTTTTTAATACTCGGTTCAAAAAGTAGCTTATGACTTGAAAGTGTAGCTCTACCAATGAAGTTTTGAAATCACGCGCTTGAAGATAAATGAGAATACAAAAGTAACAAATGTGTCACTAATTTAATTTAACGGTCTTACCTGCACACGAAATTCTAAATTATTATCCGAAGCGCCGCTGAGAGCGAGAAGTGTAAATAAACGTTGAAACCCCGAGCTTAGTAAAATACGGAAACTCGGCGGAGTTTGCATGAATTTATCAAACGACGTGTTTGCAAACAATTACAATCAGTTTAGCAAATCAAACAGAGAATCAAACAGAACACAAAATACTCGTGATACCAATTAAAAAATGTCAATTATTCAATAAATTCTAAACATTTGGGCACTCTTAGCCTAATAATATCCTAAATAAATCCACATTCTTGCCCTCACTTCAAATTTTCACCGACCACATTTTGGCAGAAATTGCTGGATATTCCAAAATTCCAAATTAGTGGTTTGGGCGGCCGCCAATCCCCTAATGACTGGCCTGATTTGATTAATACCATTCATGTGATTTTTATTCCGTTGCTGTACTTAGATGGCAGTTTTCAAATTCAGTAATTACAAGAGGATGAATAACGATTTCAACAGCTATAAAAAGAAATTATACTTTTGAGCACAAAGTCATTATTTAACATCTTGTCTACTTTATCCTATCACAAGTATGTCATACATCGGTAAGAATATAAATACTTGAAGAACTAAAAACTGTCAAGCCAACGCTTCAACACTTCTTACACACATTTTGCGTGGAAGTAGGTAGAGCAACTTACCTAAGCACGGCGCGAAAGTTTCATAAAACTGACAAATTCATGAGTGACACCCAGTACATAGCGAAAACTGCCAAACATCCACGTATCCACTAGAGGCAGCCTCCAAAGCCAAGGCCTATTAGGCTAGGGCCGAGCGGCTGCCTTAAGCCACATTTGAGCCGAGGCAGAGAAAGTGGTGACTACTGGCAGATTAAATACAAATGAGTAGGTTATCTTCATAGAAACGCACCGGGCGCAGTTTGTATGTGAGCACGCCAATATACGTATGCGGTGCGCACGCACACACTGACAAAATTCGGCGCAACCACGACCCCGCTAATCCACGCTAAATTTTGTCAGTGTGTGCGTGCGCGCCGCATAGGTACGTATTGGCGCCCTAACATACAAACCGCGCCCGGTGCGTTTCTATGAAGATAACCTACTCATTTGTATTTACTCTGCTACTGGTGACGTTGTTTTAATCTGCGGCACGCCGGGTGCTGAGGCAAATTCGTCGCCGCGACCAATAAAAATAAAACAGTCTCACCTCTCCCGCTGGAACTTGAGCGACTGCACGCGCTGCGGCGACTTCTGGCGGAAGGTCCAGAGGTGCAGCTGGTCGTCGGCGCAGGCGGTGACGAGCGCGCCCTCGTTGATGAGGAAGCGCGCGTGCAGGACCGCCTCGCCCGCTTCGTGCCGCGCGTGCGCGTCCACCCCTGGCCCGCCGAGTCTGTTAAATGCTGGTTAAGGAAATTGAAGCAGTTTTGGAGTTAGGTCTACCCATGAGCGAGCCGCAGAGTTTAAACATAAGTCATCGTTAGGGAAATGCAGTTCTGGGTCTACCTATGATCTAAGAGCGAGCAGCAGGCTTTGAACAAGCGCCGTTCAGTAATGTAATTAGTTACCCAATATGTGTTTTAAATAAACTCAGTTAAAAGAAAACTACAGTGTATGTAAGCATGGCAGGTGCGTTTCAGTACAGTTTAGTTCAATTGCCTGATATGGAGGAATGAAAGGAATTCCTACTGTAGTCATAATTTCTTTACTCAAACCAATTTTTTTTATAAACTACCTAAGTATGATGATAACAGAACCTAATAGCACAATACTTACGCAAAATGTTTTATAAAGAGAACCCTATTTGGTAATGGGACCCTAGGACCTCCCGATATCACTATTGAAGAGATAAACAATAACTTTAATCTAAAACAAACCACAACTAACTTTCGCAAAGTATTTTGTTTCACAATGAAGATAAATAATTAAGTGACGCAAAAACAAAATGAAAATGACTATGAGTTAGTATCTCCAGGAACAAGGCTTATATTGCGAATGGTGGCAATTAAAGCGGACCCATTAATGATAATAACTGTGATGCACTGCGGCGAGCACTGCGCGGTAATGTATTGTATGTCAAAATCATTATTATTATACTGATAGGTACTGAACTAAAAAAGTTAAGAAGATATAATTTTAACCTCTCGCATATTTTATTTAACTTTCATTTTAACCAAGAACTATCTTGACAAGAATCACGCTGTTTCTTGTACATTTTAAATACATGAATCATAGAAAAGTTGGTTAGAATCTCGGCATGGCTTTGTTTTTCTATAAAAGTATTAGAAATTCACAGAAATCTAGGTTGACTACAATAACGAAACATTACTGGCTGGAATAACAAAGATTAGTTAGTTTATAAACTTCCACGCTAGTTCAGATACAGCGCAATAAGTAACAGTAAAACTTAGTTAACAAATACGGGTATTTAATTCACTAAAACCATGAAATTATTGGGCTTTAATAGCGTGTGGTTCACTGAAATTTTATGCTGCAAATTGTATTTTACGCCCCGCACAGAACTGGTATTGTAAATCTGTCCATCATGTAACACAAAGGGATTGCAGTTTCCAATTTGAGTCGAAATTAATTGTAGCAAACTGTGACACGCCGCGCGTTGCCTCAGCCATCGGCAACGCGTGGCAACGACACGCTGCAACGAAATAGCCGGGGGCATGTCTGGTACAGGGGCTGAAATGTTTTTCCTATAACCAAAATTCATTTTCGAACTGTAAACAGTTTATTTATAATGTACAACCACTTCAGTGGGATGATGGCAGACCTTTTGTGGCTGCTCATAAAGTAGGTAAGTACAGTCAGCGTCAAATACTCGTAGTTCATGAAAACCAAAGTGGCCAAAAAGTTGACAAAAGCTTTATTATAATTGTAACAAAGAGGTGTTGCGAACTTTTTGGCTACTTTGGGTATCACACCACGACCTATATATTTGACGTTGAATGTACTAGGTAGAGAATAGAGATCTAGCTTCAGCATCGCAACTGTACATGAAAAACATATTCGCGTAAATGGATTTAAACCATTAGTAAACTAATTTCAAACCCACCATCTTGTAACCACCTCGATCTCAAGCGATGTGTCAGCTTGCCTCAGCGCAGCGGGATGCACTGAGCGACCACCGCCGTGCATTACCTTAGTCTCGCTAACTGAATTACTTAGAGTGTATGCCGAGTTTGTGCCGCTGGCCATTTGTGGGAACCATTTACTTATCAAATGCTTGAGAATCTTGTAAAGTGCATTAAGGTCTTCCCCATAAATAAGTGAGTCATATTGTGTTTTTAATGTTTGTCACACAGCACATCATGTTTCGTGTTTAACGATAAGCTTTAGAGAAAAAATCTGTAATAACTAAATTTTATCACTAATTTTATGTTCCAATAACATTCATAATGCAAAATGGAGGCTCAGATCTCACACAGACTGGTAGTAAAGTATTTACGGTCAAACGTTCCTTTTTACTGAGACCTGCAAATTCGATTTGTATGTACCCACATTACATTACCGTAACTGAAACACTAGCCCCGGGTACTGCGACACTAAAACGTCTTTACCAAACAAAACGTTACTAAAACAACGCGCCATCATTCTTACTTTGTAAAACGGATGGAAAAACCAGGAAACTTATGTCCCGGCGCTTCGGCCGGGAGGCGGGAGCCGAGAGCGATTTACCCGAAAAAGTTTTACCGCTCCCTAAAACGGCTTAATAACTATCACTTCGTCGGAGGGACAACATGAAAGAGCAATTGACATTGATAGCTTCACGTGAATTTCCGCTGGTGGCGCGTGACGCGCTTGGCAATGCTTTGAGGGCGACAGTGGGTTGGATTGGAATGTGATTTCTCCAAAAAACTGCAAAAGACTCAAATGCTTACAAAATCTGTGTACATTTTCGTGACTTTGTGTCAAAACCCCTTAAAAATGAAGCAACCGTACCGTACCTTAGTGACAGCAACCGTCCTAGCTCTAGATGACTTGTGCTATTCAAACGTATTAATGGAAAAAGTTTACAATAAGTTCTTTATCAGCAAATAGCTTAGTAAAATGTGTATAAAATCAAGTTTCACAAGTACGAAAAAGTTTTTGAAGTAGCTCTATGGTAATTGTAAAAGATAAAAAGTGTGATATTTAATAGTCGCACATTTGGTACTTATTTGTGAAGCCTCTAGATTAATATTTCGTGTATAGGATAACATCTTCACCTCGAGAAGTGTATACTCGTACGAATCTACACCCAAAACAATAACCTTGAGGGTGATTAAATATAATATTGTGTGTTACAGCGATCCCGCGCGCAATCAGTTCTGATGTCTGACGTAATTGGATCGGGTGCGGCTTATCTGATAGCACATAGGCATAAACCAAATCTTGATGGTGCCTTGCGCGGGGTGGCCAGGCTGGCGGATAACTACGGACTATAATATGTTTCAGTCTTGGCAATGCAAATACATTAAAGGCCTCTTTCACGATCTCCGAAATAAGTTTTAAGTAGGTACTTCCAGATTAACACTATTTAGTCAGTAGACGTAAGAAGTATTTTAACGTCAGTCTTGTCGGTGTCATAGTTTCATGATTTTAAGCAATGAGTAGCCTAATTGACGCTTTAGACAGAGACGGTGAATCCCCGCCCTTATTATTTTTTGCCGATAAAAAGCAGTTATTGCAATTTGCAACTTTTTTGCATAATTTATATTTTCATGTAGGAGTTTGTAGTGTTACGATTCTATGGTAGGTACAGAAATATTCTTGGACACGTAACATTCGCACTTCGTCTACAATTTCTTAAATATGTTCTGGAATGAAAGCAAGAGGATAAAATTTTCTGTTATCTACCAATCAGCAAATTACACTAACAAGAAAGAAAAAGGTCCGGGTTTTTCCTTACGAAGGGGCGACCCTACTTACACTCTAATCGGGCTAAGCGGGGAAGTGTGTTACAGGGTTACGGGGATGTTGGGGCAAATTGATACTACATTACAACCCGGCCCTATTTAATGAACGGGTCAAATTGGCTGCTATGTCAGAAACCCTTTTCATATTTCTGATTAATTTTTCTAAATAAACCTAACTCCTAAAGGATGATTACGTGATAAAAAGGACGTTAAGCTTTGGTCCTCGAAAATGAATCTCATAAAATCTGATGCTGTCATGGGTTACATTATCACAGCTGTACTATGTCAATACAAAATGAGATTTCTTTATCTGATTTTGTGACTTCATTGAAGTGTAAATCTGGGGGCACGGCAGTGCCCCCACCAAGTCGAGCAAAAAAGCGGCACGGCCGTACCATCCTTTTCTCGAAGCAATTCAGGCCATTTTCGACCGCCTGTAACTTCGTTGTGGATAAAACTAGAAGGCTGAATTTTCATTAGCTATGCAGGCATTGTAAAGACACGGTATATTTAAAATTTCATTCAATTTGAACCAGTAGTTTAAGAATTATAACGGGTCAAAGTTACTTAATTTTGTCACTCACTGACTCACTGACTCACTGACTCACCGATCATCAAAACTCTAAGGCACTTCTAGCAGACCTAGAAACTTCAAATTTGGAATATAAGTAGTGTTTGGTGTATGAATCAAGGAAAAACTAAAATATTTGGGGGCACGGTAGTGCAACCGCCAAGTCGAGTAAAATTTTTCAATTTCGGTCCAGTTTTCTAGATACATAACTGCTGTCTACAAAATACAAAAAGAAATGAGATCCCATCAAAAACAATACTTGTCAAAAAAACCAAGTCTCGCAACTCAGTTGTTCTACGGTAAAAAGTTGTGAGATCCATGTAATACCAAGTCCAGGCCAGGAAATCTTTAACGTTTTACATAAATATATTGACTTGGCCATCGCATGAAAACACGTGTAAATTAAATTATTTAGTGCGATGGCCAAGTCAATATATTTATGTAAAACGTTAAAGATTTCCTGGCCTGGACTTGGTATTACATGGATCTCACAACTTTTTACCGTAGAACAACCGAGTTGCGAGACTTGGTTTTTTTGACAAGTATTGTTTTTGATGGGATAAGATCTTTACTTAGATTCAAATGACCAATCAAACACGTCTAATTTGGCCCTTGTTCAGTGGATAAGACTTAATTTAAAAATCGGAATTAAATTATATTCAATAGTATTCTGAAATTAATTTGTAACTGTAAATGTAATTTGTTTTCAGCCCTCTATTTTAGAAAGAGTTCTTTAAGTCCTTCTTGGAAATTTCTTATTAATAAATTGATTTGGCATTCAAAATATTCTCTTTGAAAGCCCTCATTCCAAATTGTGCTAAATATTTCACGCAATTTCAATTCTGAATAATTCCAATATTCCTATTGAACCAATCATATTCCTTTCAGAAGTACGAGTACCTACTGGTTTTAAATGTAAGAATATGATGATTGAAATGTAAGAAAGATATTCCTTATTTTGTATATGATTTCCTAAAATATTGTTCGCTGCTTTGTGTGTATTTACGGTCTACTTTGTTTAAAGGCACATGTATAAGATACGCGCGTAATATTAAACAAATAGGTCGTTATTATAACTGTAACGATGATTTTCCTACAGAAATATTTTACTGAATGGAAGCCGTGCGGTTTATTACGACCAAAGAGGCGTAATTTTCGAACTGCTGTAAAGCATACACATTTCTGCCGTTCCAAAAGCCTCTGAATAAAACCGGTAATATTGTTTCTGATTTGTGAGTATTGCAGTTAAACAACTGTTACGAAGTTGTACAGAACTGGCCCCGTCTCCCCTAACAATAACTTTGAACTTTGCTCATTTGTTTGCTGATGCAGCGATATTAACCTGCGTATTTCTCTAAAAGGATTGCGAATTTAGAAACATTTTTAGAATAGAATAGATAAATAGTGAGAGAGATAAAAAGACAGTCAGCTTTAGAAAGGTCTCTTTTCTACTGAGTTACAACAACTGAGGTCAATACTCTGGTGTCCGATTTTTGTAGGTTTCGACATCTTTCGACATGGTTTAAGGCTTGGTATTTCTGCTAAAGTAGGTATTTCGCGCTGTCAAAATCTGCGCGCGCAATTCTTCGCCGAAGACAGCGCGCCAAAGAGCTCCCGCCACAATTTCCAGCTACATAGTGTAGAAATACGCAGTTGGTTAGGTTAGGTCGACTTCCTTCCCTTCAAGCATCACACTCACAACACTTTCTAATACAAATCATATCCAAGTGATACAAATTAAAACACCTTACAGACTTTTTGGGAATATATTCTAGAATCGAATAAATATGAAATATAACTGCAGAAGTAAACACGGTTCAAAGTGGCCGTGGCGTCGCCTGACCTTCTGGAAGTTCTGCGCCGGCTTAAAGAATTTCAAGATTACGTCACCCGACCTATCGGTAGGCCCTTGGAAGCTTGAGCGACTGGAAAAACCTTTTATGATCAGTTACTCGTAGTAGGGATTATTTAGAGCTTGGATAATAAATTATAGTTGTTGCAATTCACGAAGCTTTGCATGTGGTTAATAACATTAATCAGTACACGCATTAATTTTGTTCAGTCTCTTTGTTTATTAATAAATAAAAATATCATACTAAAATTGCAGAAACATATTTGTTTGTATTGGTCTGGGTGTTTTCTTTCTATAATATGTATGACGTATGTACGGGGTTCTGTACTTAGTTTAAAAGGATGCCAACGATTTAAATTTCAATAGGTAGACAAAATTCATAATTCTTAATTATCAAAAATTTTAGCTTTCTCCAGTAACACTGATGTTATTATACTGTGACTCATCAAAGTCATCATTGTCAAAAATATTGACAAATCGCGAACTGTCACGACCAAAAAACTGACACGCGTCCGTCCTCCGTAAGCGCCACCGCGCGACTGATTGAGATTGTCCAAGCCGTCATGGGCAATTTTTTCCACATTTTTTAACATAGTAACTAAATAAGAGCCAATATAAAAATTTCATCCGTTAAAAGCCCTCAAGTTATTTCTGAACTTTAGTTTAGTAAAAGATTCAGAATCTCAAATCGCTTATTTAAAAAATAAAACCATAAATAGAAAACGAATAGAGGTAACTTTGGGAATTTATTCTATCGAGTCAACTTCATCAAATCGTGTTTCCATCCGTTAATAGCCCTAGAAAATATCCTCAACTATGCCCAAATAAAATCTTAGCCTTTAATTTTACTGTTTAGTACCTCAAAAATGAAAAATGA